TGCTAGATCTAGTCTTGGAGGTAAACCTCATCCGCTCTCTTCTGGTAGTTCGTCGCTTGCTCGCCCCTGTGCCTCAGTTCCTCGTCCTGGAGTAGGGTTTCGTCAGCGCGTTCTTGCCTCCTTCCTCTCTCCTGTGTCCTACGACCCGGAAGCCGGCCCTGATCCCCCCAGCGTCCTATGGGTTGTTGCTCCGTTCCCTGCGCTGTGTTTCTTTGCTAGCGGGGTAGCGCGTCTCCTCTCCTACTTTTTCTGCGGTCCCGACGAACGGCTTGCCGTCACCCCCGGTCGCCCCCTGGTTTTCTCGGTTGCGGTGGCTAGCCCAGCCATTGCTGAATTCCTCGCCGCCGTTGGCCCTGGCCTCATGCACGCCATTAACCTTTCCCTCTTCGTTTCGCGGGGGGCGGCCTACTCTGCTGCGGCTAGGGCTTGCGCGCATACTGCTAGGGGATGGCGCCGTTGCCACCAACCGGGAGTTACTCCGCACGAGCCTAGAGCTAGGAAGCCTAGCCTTTTGGGCATTTGGTGCCCCGTCCCCTCAGGTGTTAATTCCCTCGGTTTGCTCCCGCGTCTCCCTACTATCGTATCGATCGCTGATTCGCCGAGAACTCCTGCTGGATCTCTCGCCCATCACGCGCCCGATCTCCCGACATCCTTGGTCGCTTCCTCGAGCGACACTGCGCGCGTCGGTAGTGCCTGTCCGCTGCGCATTGACTGCGAGGAGCGTGATGGCTCCGCGGCGGAGGCCGCTCCAGCGTTTACTGCCCCGTCTTTCTCGAGCTGCGGCTCGTACAAGGAAGCGCTTCTCTCTCCGTCTCGGGTGCTCAAACCTCCCCGGCGTCCGCCCATACCTCCCCTATCGCTCTCTGCCTTTTACCGCTGCCTCTCCACTCGCCACTACGTTCGCTCCTGCCGGGATCCCGTTCGTTGCCGTCGCTGCCGCATCTCGGGGCACCGTGCCGGCTCCAAACGCTGCGCCATGGCCACCCGTCGCAGCCTTCCCTCCCCCTCCGCTGCTGCTGCCTCCCCTCCTAGGCCGGCGACCGTTTCCTCTCCTCCCCCCCCCTCCGCCACCACCCCCAGCTCGTCGCCCTACCACCCCCTACCCATC